AATAATAATAATAATAATAATAATAAATAAATAAATAAAATAATAATAATACAGTAAGGATTCCAATGTAAAAAAGTAGAGTTAAAAAATAGAAACATCTGATTCAACAGAGGTACTTCTCAATGCAAAATGAACCAAAACAAATTTCTTATAAACATAAGATGCCACAAGGAACTGAAGCATTTACATGACTATTGATTCAATTTCCTATAGTATCAAACAGAAGGCCTGGAACATAATCCATATAAAGAAACAGCACTTACAGCTGTTGCAAAAGCAGTGCCCACAATCCATGTTGGTCACCTCAGTTGCAGAAACATCATCCATACATATATTACACATCACTGTAGTAGAAGGCTCTGGTGGATCAAGGTCAACAATTATATCAGAAGTTACACCTGCTCCAGCAAAGATACTGGCTTTCCCCTTTTCAACGTAAACCGCAATCAACTTCTCAACATCCCAGCGATAATGAATGAGAAGAGTTCTGGCATGCTGTTCTCTCACCGATAGCAATTCCATCACTCTTCGCAAATCTTCCTTCTGCACAGATGGAGAAAATTTCATTTCTTCCATTATACAAAAAAATGCATATAGAGTCCATAAAACAACATAACGAATATTATTAAAACAGAGCATGAAAAGAGAAATATGACAAGTTTTTATTATCTCACCTGTGCAGCTAAAAGAGACTCCTTTGTTATCACCTGCAAAATGCACCACAAGGGTCAATGAATCAATTCAACACCATCAAAATCAACGTACATTAATTAGAAAACATTGGCAAGCATCAACTGTTCAATATGCGGTCCAAAGCGATTTCATCCCAACCAAAAATCACCAGGTTATTTGGTTAAAGAAGCCAGTATTCCAGGCTAAGAAAATTTTGAAAGCAACAACATAAAACAAACATCCACAACATTTAAACCCACCAAATATAACAAAATGTCAGAATAATTCATTAATGATTAACAAGTTCAGCGTATTCACGGCAAGTTCACTTAACCAACAAAAAATACTACTTTTTCA